GCCAGGGATGGCAAAAACCCAAAGTAAGGCAGAGGAAGTGAGAATGAAGAAAATCTAGTCTAAAAATATTAAATCAAATCCATAGGACTTGGCGATTGGTTCGTTATGGAAGTTTTTAATTTGAAAGGGTTGAAGGAGAAGGAAGAGTCTAGGTTAGCTCTCAGTGGAAATGCTCAGTCTATAGCTAGATACATGGGTTTAAAGCCAGAAAGGCACTCTGAGTTGCATACATGATTAGTGTCATCAGATTATAGGTGGGAGTTGAAACTGAATTTGTAGAATTTCAAAAACAAGGTGGTAATGCAAAGAAGTCTAATTTTAGAGAATCATATTCCTCTTATTTCTAACTTATTTGGGTTCACCAAACTGAAGTTCTCCTGAAGTAGGAAAGACTAGCTGATTTTCCCCAAAAGTCTTCCAGGGTGACATCATCTTGGTTCTTAACTTCAAAGACTCTGAAACTTGTTATCAGCATGCTCACTGCATCTGCCTTAGTATTGAGACACATTAACTAGCTTATGAGACTGATGTCTAAAACTCTTGGTTACTCATTTACAATTGGAAGTATAATTGTCAGATAGTCTAGAATACTTGTGTGGCACAACCACAGGACCAAAACATGATCAGAGGATTGCATGTTAAACATGGTATCAGAATAGAGAAGTTAATGAAGTTAGATCAGCTATCTGACAGTATTAAACTAAATAGATGGCACTGTTGCCTTACCGGAAGAGGTTCTTTCTTCTCACGTGAAAAACATTTAAGGACTGTGGACTATACTCCCCTAGAACCACCTGAATGATAATGAATCCGTTAACAATGTAAGTTTTTAATTTGCTACAGTTCCTCCTATCCTGTTGGTCTCCTGACCACAAATGACAAATACCAGTTCCGAAACCAAAAAATGTTGATACTGGAATACAAAAGCATCTTATACCTGTTCCTCTTTACTTATGTACTTCATCTATCTAGTTTCTGAGGTCATTTGAGTTTGCAACTCCTAGCCTAAAGGATGCTGTATATTTCCTAGTTGCTTAGGCAGTGGAAAGCCATCACACTGCCGTAGCCATGCACTAACAAGAGTGGTATGTGTGGATGAGATGACACAAAGTGAGAAGAAGATCAGAACTAACTATGATTAGTTTTTGCAACTAAAACTTATGGGAACCAGCTTCTTTGACTTGCAAATCATATTATAGGTTGGTTTCTTGAATGGAAAAATTTTGTAATTATACCCTATAGAAGCAAGGAAAGAAAAGACTTCCACGGGGTGACACAGGTTGGAATAACTAGTGGTCATTGATGTACCATTGCTGTTTTATTCATTTTACTTTCTTACAATGGGTTATCAGCCTTGGGATGCACATTCGATTTACCAACACTAACATGTAAGGCCTGATAAAGCTCCTTAGACGAATCAAGAGAAAAAAATCCTGTGCATTGTCTTCCTATATTCTCACTTGAAATGATTCATCACTACCTTTCTGGTCTAGGTTTTAGTTCCTCTCTAGGCTCACAGCTTTTAAATTAGGTGGCAGGATGACTGCATGGCTGCATGAGAACCAGTTAAGAGTTGTTTAAAATACAGATCCCAGGATTCTAATTTGGTAGGTATGAAGGAAGGCCCCAGGAGTCCGCATTTTTGAAAAGTTCTCCATGCTGAATTCAGATGTACAACTAGATTTGGGATACTCACAAGTTATTGCTATGAAGCTATGACAGTACCCCTTTTATTTTCTGATTCTTTTCCATCTAATCTGCTGTACATTACCATTCTGAGGGTGACATTAAAAACATGTATACATGTGTGCTACACACTGGCCTGTTAGTGTCACTGCCCTGAATCAGAACTTTTGATAATTTCACATAGAATTATAATCTGATAATCTCCTATTGAGTGTACTGAAGAGTGGCACCTATAAATTTTTCATTCTTGTGACACTTAGTACAGAGCCATTCCTATAAGAGAAGAGACTGTTTATCCATATGTGGAGGGTCTCATACTGATGGGTGAGAAAGGTGAGGATTTGTAAATAAAGTTGGGTTTCACTTTTACAAATACCTTCAGTAAAGATGGCTACATTTATTCAATTTCTACCAGTTTAGAGGAGTTTTTATCTTTTCATATCATAGTAGGAGAATTAATAAAAATGTTTCCTTTTTAAACATTTTTTAATCAGGCAACAGAATAAGGGTTCTGTATGTATTGTTTCATTTAGTTCTTCTGTTCCAGTTAATAAACATCTCTATCTTGTAGTTAATAAACTAAGGGTCTGTAATTTTAAGAGATTTACCCAAAAATCACATAGATCTTAGGTGTTGAAGCTAAAATATGAACCTGAGTTTGTTTGATTCTAAAACTTGTGCTCAGTGACAAAGTTACTGGCTTTATCTTCTCTCTCTCTCTCTCTCTCTCTCTCTCTCTCTCTTGTTCTTGGCCACTGAAATCAGTATAAAAAAACAATAAAAGATCATTTCTATTTCTTACCACAAAAGAATAGGATTTCTTAAGCTTGGTAAAACCACATATCTCTTTCTTTCCTTTCTGAAAGATTTTATATGATAAAATGATAGCTTCCCTTTTAACTGAGGTTTTAGAAAACTGTGAACCTGAGATGAAAAAGCAAAAGCCATGACGACTGGGAAGGCGCTGGTCAGAGAATGCCCTGATGAGGCCGGGCATGGTGGCTCATACCTGTGATCCCAGCACTTTGGGAGGCTGAGGCAGGTGGATCACTTGAGATCAGGAGTTCAAGACTAGCCTGGCCAACATGGTAAAACCCTATCTCTACTAAAAATACCAAGATTCGCTGGGTGTGGTGGTAGGTGCCTGTAATCACAGCTGCTAGGGAGGCTGAGGCAGGAGAATCGATTGAACTTGGGAAGTGGAGGTCACAGTGAGTCAAGATTGCACCTCTGCACTCCAGCCTGGGTGACAGAGCAAGACTCTGCCTCAGAAAAAAAAAAAAAAAAAAAAAAAAAAAAAAAAAAAAAAAAAAGAGTGCCCAATGAGCTCAGGACTGTGGCTTGCTTGCTACTACGCTTATCAAATGATTTGAAGCCCTTGTGCTACCACTGACTTTCTTTTTCACATGTACCCAAATGGTGAGAGGCAAGTGGCCTTGGCGCTGGAAATGAACTAGCATGTGTTTCTTTCTTTAAAAACAAAAATGTCCCTGGTAAATTATAACACCTTGTCTAGGAAAGTAGTGGGGTAAATTATGAAATTCTATTACTAACTTACAGGAAATCATGAAGTATCAGTTAGTGATCAGCATATTGAAAAACAGGTCCCCCAACACTGATGTCATTTTGTTCTTGGCCAGCTTGAAGAACCTGGTAGTGATGATAAAATGTTGGAATTAAAGCACAAGTAGATCTGGGTATTAGATCTATAATTTCTAGATCTCTAGATACATATTCTTTGTGTATATGTACATAGGTATTCTTGTGTCACTAAGAAAGCCTGCTCGATTACAGAATAAAAACTAGGAGAAATTTCTTTGGCTGGAAAGATGCTATTTTTATCATATCTCTTTCCTACCAGGAGGTTATAGATGTGGACAAGTTACAGGTAACAGCTGTGTGAGTGGCATTTGTGAACCTTGCATTGGGAAGGATGTTACCATAATCTTTTACCATAAATTATCTGGATTTAAGTGAAACCTCTGATGTAGTTAGCAGTCAACTTCTGGAGAACTGGGACCGTATCTTAATTATTTCTTGTATCTCTAATACTAATCATAGAAGTGGCACATAGCAGGTGTTCTTGCAACCAACTGGTTCAATTTTACAGCAGTCCGATCAACTCTTTGAGCTGCTCTTACTGTAGATAGCTATGCTGTTGATCCATATGCAGGATCTCTGATACTTTGCATGTCCAACCCATGGGCCCTCTCTGTGCCTTTAATTTTGATTTGTTGAATTGCCTGAATAAATATCCATTCGTGATTAAGGCACAGACTATTTCTGACTAGGACGATGGAATACAGAAAGTTTACTCAAGTGGTTGTTGAGTTTTTTTGGATGACAGGCTTAATATTTCAGATTGACCTTGAATATAATTGATATATATATATATATAAGCAGAGTTAAGACCATTAGGGAAGTAAAACTTTTAGAAAACTAAATATAACATGGGGACTGTGTGTGTGTGTAAGTTTTGAGGGGAACTCACTGTAAGTCAGCATCATACTGCTTTATTTTCTTAATTATTGGGCATCCACTGCCAGTTAACCAGAGGAGCATAACATGTGGGAGCTGCTGGGTAACATTTCCAAAATACTTAGCATTAGTCAGATATGTTTTTAGAATTCTGTATCCATTTTGGCTGAAGGAAAACGTGGAGTGTTTGTCAAGGGTGCAGAACATGGTAACTAGATATAGAGGAGCACTGCAAAGGACCCATTGGAAAAAGCTAATAAGAATTCATTACTTAGTATGATCAAAGGCAGAAGAAGGGTATTAATTTAATGGTCTTCTGTTGCATATATAGTTATTGTGTAGAAGATGATGTGATTATTTCCACTGTGAATGGAATTAGAGAAATGGATTTACATTAAAGGAGATTTTGAAGGGGCATAAAGAATTTCTTGACTCTAAGGATTGTTGGACAGCGGAATGACTTGTCATCTGGAAGTGTGAAATCCTGTTCCTTATAGAACAGGAATAGAGTGGGCACTGCTTGCCACTTAGAGGGACGTGCAGTTGGGGTAGTAATTAACAAACTTTCCAGATCCCAGTTTGTACTGCTCATCTCATATTGTGTTTGACATTTTCGGGAAGTAAATAGGTAGCCCCTTTTTGTTTGTATTTTTTCATAGTTATTACAAATATGAAGACCTTGCTTTTAATGTTTCTATAATACATTTCAAGCAAGTACAAGGTTAAACTGCAAATTGAAAATTGCTTCACCCACAAATTCACTTGCTGTTGATTTTTGTATGAGCCCTTACAATGTTGTCAATTCCAGCTTTCCTTTTCTTTTGCTTCTTTAGAAGATTCACTGTGTGCCCTCTTCGCTTGTTCTACAATGAGTGCCAAATCTGCTATCAGCAAGGAAATTTTTGCACCTCTTGATGAAAGGATGCTGGGAGCTGTCCAAGTCAAGAGGAGGACAAAGAAAAAGATTCCTTTCCTGGCAACTGGAGGCCAAGGCGAATATTTAACTTATATCTGCCTGTCAGGTAATGAGAACCAAATATTAATATTATTAAAACAACTTCTATTTTAAAACAGTTAATTCTGAGGTATCCTGGAGGTTTACATTCACAGGTGTTTTAGATGTCTGCACTCTCTTGCTCCTTTTCCCTGTTTCTCTGTGGTCTTCCTCTTTATGGTAACACCTCTGTTTTTGAGGTTGCCGTGCACTGGAAAGGTAATGAAGCCCAATTCTGATGTGTTTTCTAATTCATTAGAGATTTTGTAAAGGGCTTTATGGACTTGTTTGTCCATACTTGTCTTCACTGGGACACTGACAGAGAATGGGCTATCCTCTGGGATTCTTGTTTAGAACAGTTCCTGGTATCTGGATAGCTGTCAATACTCACAGCCTGACTTTCATTGGCTTTGTTGCCATAATCAGGAATCACTTGTCTCAAGATAAATATTGGCACCTTATGGAATGTGAGAAGGTCGATTCAGTTCATAAGTCATTGCTTTGCCTGATAGCCATTGCCTTGTCAGGAAGAAGCATCTGTTTTATTAAGCTTAGAATTTTCTTGGGTTTTTTTTTTCTTCTCTCTCTCTCTCTCTCTCTCTCTCTCTCTGTTTGTAATTGTAGGAGATCTGTGGGATTTACAATGGATTCATATTAAGAATTTTGAGATAAAATTTGGATAAATTTTTCATGGAATATAGGTGATGCTAATCTAAACACTTGGGGCATTTGTGATATTTCTGATAATATTTCTTCTCTTTTTTTTTTATTGTACTTTAAGCTCTGGGATGCATGTGCACATCCCGCAGGGTTTGTTGGATAGGTACATACATGCCATGGTGGTTTGCAGTATCTGTCCCCCCATCGTCTACATCAGGCATTTCTCCCAGTGTTTTCCCTCCCCAACTTCCCCGCACCCCACTGACTCTTGCCGGCCCCCCAACCCCCAACCTACCCCAATGTGTAATGTTCCCCTCCCTATGCCCACGTGTTATCATTGTTCAACACTTGCCTATGAGTGAGAACATGTGGTATTTGATTTTCTGTTCTTGTGTCAGTTTGCTGAGAATGATGGTTTCCAGATTCATCCATGTCCCTACAAAGGACACAAAAGCATCATTTTTTATGGCTGCATAGTATTCCATGGTATATATGAGCCACATTTTCTTTGACAAGTCTATCATTGATGGGCATTTGGGTTGGTTCCAGGTCTTTGCTATTGTAAACAGCACAGCAGTGAACATACATGTGCATGTGCCTTTATAATAGAACAATTTATAATCCTTTGGGTATATACCCAGTGATGGGATTGCTAGGTCAAATGGAATTTCTATTTCTAAATCCTTGAGGAATCGCCTCAATGATAATATTTCTTGCATGGGATAATGGAAGATTTAAGCTCACTTTATCTTTTTAAAAAATTTCCTTCAATTGTAGGTTTGGGAATAAAACTTTACTTTTTTGGGCCATTTCTAGCTTTTTTAAAAAAAACTAAGCCTTTGATTATTTATCAGAATTTATTTTAGGTAAAAGTAAATTTTTGCCAGAAGGAACATGTAAATTTCTAAGACTGCCTTATATTAAAGTGAAGTAAGAATATTACACTTTGGTAAGAATTATTTTTCAGTGGGCCAGGCATGGTGGCTCACGCCTATAATCTCAGCACTTTGGGAGGCCGAGGCAGGTGGATCACCTGAGGTCAGTAGTTTGAGACCAGCCTGGCCAACATAGTGAAACCCTGTCTCTATTAAAAATACAAAAATTAGCTGGGTGTGGTGGCACCCACCTGTAATCCCAGCTACTCGGGATGTTGAGACAGGAGAATTGCTTGAATCCAGGAGGCAGAGGTTGCAGTGAGCAGACATCACACCACTGTACTCCAGCCTGGGTGACAGCGAGACTCTGTCTCAAAAAAAAATTTAAAAATAAAAAAAAGAAGAAAGCTTTTATTTAAATGACTATGGGAGAATTGACTTTGAAACATTGGTTTCTGTTTATCCCAAGTAAGGATTAGGTTAATAAAATTTGGTTATTATTAGAGAATACTTGAATTTCTTTAGTGTGCTAGGCAGTGCCTGGCATATTCTAGGGCCTCAATTAATATCTGACGACTAAGTGGAAGAAAGATGTAGCCTTACTTAATACTTTGCTAGAATTTTATTAATGAAATTCTGCTGCATTTTGTTTTGTTTTGCGACAGGGTTTCTCTCTGTTGCCCCGGCTGGAATGCAGTGCCACAACCACGCTCACTGTAGCCTTGACCTCCTGGGTTCAATTGTTTGTTCCTCCTGCCTCAACCTCCCTAGAGCTGGGACTGTAGGCATACAACACCATAACCACAGACTTTTATATTTTTTTGTAAAGATAAGGTCTCGCTCTGTTGCCCAGGCTGGCCTCGAACTCTTGGGCTCAAGTGATACTCCTATTTAGACCTCCCAAAGTTCTGGGATTACAGGCATGAAACACTATATTTGTAGTTTTTGTAGTGATAGGATCTCATTACGTTGCCCAGGATGCTCTCAAACTCCTGGCTTCAAACAGTCATTTCCCCGTGGCCTCCAAAAGTGCTGGGATTACAGGCATGAGCCACCACACCCAGCCCAGGTCTTAAAAATATTTTCATATTCTTAAATTTATATTCCAGAGTTCTGCTTACACAAATAATGAATAGAATACATTTAAATAAATATTGATTTGCATTTGGGCTGAGCTGAACATCGGCCTAGTATAGACACCCAGTGATTCTAATTTTATTAAGCTCTATTTTCTCAATAGTTCATTGAGATTTCTTGTAGATGAGATGAGTAGTTGAAAGAAAGGTAGATGGTCTAGAAGCCACTTGAGTTTTGCCTCGTACACATGTATAACTGAAGAACAGTTTGTTTGCATTTTAGGCATATGCTATTGTCTGCCTGATTCTGATCATCAAGTCTGCAAGAGTGATATAGGGACTCTAATAACCTCGTCTCAGTGAAATAGCATAACCATTTCATTTCCCCTGCCATAGAAGATAATGACCTGGGACTTATGGGATAACTGTATTTCCTTTACAAATTACCAAGACCTTCAGGTTTAAACTATGAGAATTGCTTTTTTGATTACATTCTAATGGAGGAAAATCTTTTGTTCTTCAGTCTTTTCATGCTTTTGAATCTTGAGAGGGTACATTGATAAAGTAGATCTGACATTTAAGCAGACAGTATAGTGGAAATTAGGGCAGGAGAAAGGCAGGCAACTTTGACACCCAAGATTTTTGCAGTTTGATTTTTCTTGTAAGTCACAAAGAAGCAACTACCTTTATTTTTTAACTTGTGTGAAGCTTAGAGGCATATTGCTACATCCCTGATAAGGTGATGTTTTAATTAGCAATTAACCAGTCAAATATTTATTAAGTGCCTTTTCTGTGCCAAGCATTCTAGGTTCTGTGGGTACCACTATGAAAAGAATTCACGGAGCTTACCTAATTTGGTGGGCAAGCAGCAATAGACATTAATAAGTCACTCACTGAAATAAACATAGTTATAAACTGTAAAATATTAAAAAGAAAAAATACAGTGATGTGAAAGCATGTATGCAGAGAATTTGGCCTGGTTGGGAGAACCAAGAGTTTTGAGAAAAATAGGGCTTCACTGGTTTTGAAAAGAGGACTGTGTGGGTGGGAGGGCATTCCAAGCAGAGAGAATGGCAGGTTCATTAAAAGACTAGCAGGATTTTGAATTTCTCCTATTCTGCTATTCAGTATAGGGATGACCTGTTTGTAGCTCAGCTCACATAGGAGTCTGTGAAGTGAAAGCAGAGCCTTGGAATGACAATCTTCTTCCTGCTATTAGTGTGAACTGCCTACGCCTTCTGGGGGCCCAGGCCCTCCAACTATTGTGGTTTGGTTGATGAAAACCAGCTATTCATTTTGAACTGGTGAACTTTTTCCAAATTAGGACAATGTCTGCAAATAATTTTTAACCATTCTTCAAACAGCATGAAGCATTAAATTTTTAAAAAGGGAGAAGTATCACTACTTTAAAAGCTTGCCAAAATATACATCTAGACATGGGTGTTTCATATGTATCCAATGTCTTTTACTAACTTTGTGTGAATTTTCGTCCCAATATCTAGTACAGTTTGTGATCAGAGTTAGAGGTCTGTGATCATAAGACTTATTATTTTCACAGCAGGTTAAATATCCTCTGGAGATATCCAAAAAAGGAGCTGGAGTGGAAGAAATAAGATGATCTTTCTTGAGTTATTTAGATTTAATTCTGTAAGGAGAAAAATAATCTCTCTAGTTCCTTGTGGTGTCTTGGGATAGGATTTGAGTGTTTCTCACTGGAATCATGGATTGATTGACTTCCTGAATGGTATATACAAGTGCTTATGTACTGAGATGCCTCCGTAATTAACATTCTTAAAGCACTGGTTTCTGCTTTTTCTTTTCAGCAATGACTAAAATTAAAAATACTGACAATACCAAGTGTTAACAAATGTGAAGCAATTTGAGCTCTCATACTTTGCAGATGGGAATGTAAAAATGATATGACTGCTTTAGTAAACAACTCGGCAGTTTTTTATAGCATCAAACATGTACCCTATTTTTAGGTATATACTCAAGAGAAATAAAAACATACGTCCACCTAAAGAGTTGTACATAAGTATTCATGACAGTCTCATTCATAATAACCAAAACCCAGAAATAACTCAGATATCCATCTACATATTAAATGAATAAACAAATTATTTTACATTTTTGCAGTGGAATACTACCTTGCAGTAAAAAGAAATGAACTACCAATATATGCAGCAACATGGATGAATCTCAAAAGCATTATTTTGTGTGAAAAAAAAAAACAGAGAGAAGCATCAATATACGATGAGATTCTGTTTATATAACATTCTAGAACTGACAAAAGTAAGATGTAATGGCAGAATTGACTGAGAAGGGGCTGGACGTGATATTTTGCAGTGACATTAGGAGCTCTGTTTGTTGATTGTGGTGTTGGTTACCTAGGTGCATACATTTTTGACAGCTTATCAGGGTGCACACTTAAAATGGATATATTTTATTATATGTAAGTATATCTCAATGAAATGGATTTTTTTTTTTTTTTTTTTGAGATGGAATCTTGCTGTGTCTCCCAGGCTGGAGTGCAGTGGTGCAAACTCAGCTCCCTGCAACCTCCACCTCCCAGGTTCAAGTGATCAAGTGATTCTCCTGCCTCAGCCTCCTGACTAGCTGGGATTACAGGCACATGCCACTTTGCCCAACTAATTTTATATTTTTACTAGAGGCAGGATTTTACCATGTTGGCCAGGCAGGTCTCGAACTCCAGACCTCAAGCAATCTGCCCACCTCAGCCTCCCAAAATGCTGGGATTACAGGCCTGAGCCACTGCACCACTAGTGGAAAATATTAGCCTCTTTACCTCCATGTACATCTTAAGATGAATGGAAACTAGCTGTCTCTTTTATAGGCATGAGAAGTTGTTCCAGTGACCTTTTTGAATGGTCAGATAGAAGCAGTTGTGTATCATCTAAACTTGTGCTTGCATCTATGTGGTCTGTCTGAATGCAAAATCTTTATTTTCTGCTATGTTTTTATTCTTGCTCATTCACATGGATTAGGTTGCTCAAAGACTGGAGCCAATATGATATACTCCTTATAGCACCTGGCACATTGCTTGATATAAACACAATAGATGCTTAATGGTAGACACTATTTGAATTTTTGGTTTACTACATACCTGATTATAGTGTAGACTTTATTTATAACTTTGAACTGTTAACACATTCAAAGTGTAAAGCAAGCCCTGCCCACAACAATTTCTATAGTCAGTTGCCCGTGATAATTTGGGTCTATAAAACTAAACTAGAAACATGCTAAGTTAAAATCAGTTTGTTATTAGACATTAGTTACCTACCGAACATTCTGTAATTTCATGTTTAAAATCTGTTTTCCCTATTCTGTTTTAATTATGTGTGTGTAATATATGATGCTAGCCATTATCTCCATAAATGGATAAAAATTTTCCCTTGGCTGCTGCTCATCCCCAGAGAAGGAACATGTGGGAACTTTAATTTTTGTGATTAGTACATTCTTTTACATGTTTTGTTGAAACAGAAAATCTTAATCTTTTCTAAATGGTTTTAGATTTGTAGAGAGCAAAATTGTTCTGAATGCTCTTTGATGAGATAATTTATGTAAATAGATACCCATGGAAGGTAATGACATGGATTAGGAGCATAGAACCTGCCAATACTGCCCTTTATCTCAGTGGTGGGCAGCCCTAGGTGTTCCTTATAGTACGCTCTAGAATTTCCCAAAGTACAGATGGCCTGGCTCTACCTGGGTCCTACTAATGCAGCACCAGGGGCTGGTAGGGAAGCTAATCTGTATTTTGAAAGTGTTATGCAAGAACTTCTGAAGCTAAGGTTGAGAAGCTTCGCTGTTTTGGGGAGATATACTCTGGTTGTCTTATTGGGATGTCTGACATAATGATATATTTTTGGTACTCAATTTCATTTAAAACTGCTTTAGTTTCTTACTTGTTGTCTGGCCATGGTGAAACCTCTGATTTTTCTGGGCTTCAGTTTATTCAGTTGAAAAATTCAGAGTAGTTAGATTCAGGTTCATTTGGGTTCTGTGAGTCTAGGGATCTGAACCCCCATGGAACTTTTATATCAAATTTCATTCTCACTCCATGCATATCATGTAGAGAAAAATCCAGGTAGTTAATATCAACACTTAAACATTTATGAGGGTTTGAGAAAATTCTTTACGGGTTGCTACTGGAATTAGGGTAACCAAATTTAATTGTCAGTGATGTGGTGTAGGAAAGAAACCCTTTTTATCTACTTTCTAATTCAGACCGGCACTCATCTCAAAGTCTATAAATATTAGAAGAGAGAGAAGAGACAAGACAGATGAAATTTGACCTTGGTAGAAATGATTTATTCAGCAGCGGTAAGTTGACTTTTCAAGAGTTTTTATCCAGGAAAAATAAAGATATTCACACCGAAGTCAGAGGCACATAAAGACATTAGCAGTAAAAGAGGAAGTACAAATCAACTAAAATAATTATATATATATATATATATATATATATATAAAATATTTTTTGTTATACAAGTAGTAAATATTACTGAAAATAAATTTTTAGAAAATTATGTACAAGTAAAAAATATTCACCTTCTGCATATTATATTATTTGTTTTAATTCCAGTTAATCCCTGTGGCATCCCTATTTATTGAGTGGTATGTCCCTCATTTCACAGATGAAGGAACCAGTGTTCATCAGAGGTTATGATCTCCCGGGGTTGTCATTTTGGAAGTGGCAGAGTCAGACATCCACCTGGTCCCTGACCCATGGCCATGTGCAACTGCCACAGCACCTCATTTCTTCTGATTCTCCTGGGAGGGGTATGGTAGAGAGGGCCGTGTTTTAAATAGTAGATTCCTTTCTGACTCTTCACAATTAGAGACATGGAACACTTTTGGCCTCCATGATGTCATTCTATCTCATTTCTAAGGCTATTGGTTAACAGGCTTTCCTACATTGGAATATATATCAGGGTAAGCCTTTTGTCTCTGTATTATAGAGATTTGGTGTGTACATCCAGTTATAAAACTAACTCCAGAAGACAACACAGTAAAAAAAGTTATTTTTAGTGCCTTGATTTTGAGTTTTCTCACATTCTTTTTAATTTTATAAAAAGGCAATATCCTTTGTTATACCATTTATTGAGCATTTGGTTCTTCTAGGATATGTGCACAGACACATTTGAGTAGAGCATTTGTAAAACAATAACCGTTAGTTACATGAAGTTAAAAGGAGAGGGTTTTCCTCTGAAACATTTTCTAGTTCAGTAGGTTTGGCCACAGGTATAATTTTAAGTGACCTGCAGTGCAGCACCTGCCATGCACCTATCACATGCTTCAGTGCTCATAGAGTTAGGGTGTCATCAGCCTGCTTTGGGATTAGTAATAATAATTGTAGTTGTGGTATTTATTGAGTTCAAACATATTGTATATCTGATCTATATGTTAACTCCTTTAATCCTTACAACAGTGCTATGAGGTAGATAATAGTACTGTTCTTATTTTGTAGATGAGGAAAATGAGCATATAGAGGCAAATTAGCTTGCCCAAGATCCTTGGCTAGTGAGTCACAAAACAAGGACTTGAACCCAGGTTTGATTCTAGAGCCTATTCCTTTATCCACTGTGCTGTTCTCTCCTTCTCTTGTAGGTGTAGGGATCCTGTGAGAAAAGACTTGCCAAACCAAATGTCTTTTCTTACGCTTTCATACGGCTTTAGTGATAATCATGTCTCAGTATTACTCTGGTCTCCTATGGGTTTTGGCTAGGTGGTAGCAGTCCTGTGTACCAACAACTGGGCTGTTAAGAAATTCACATATTACAGTGACACTGTTAGTAGATGTATTTGATTCTTAGAGAGCAGATTAACTCCCCAGGGAAATTTGGGAAGGCTCCTGCCAAGGACACTGCCACATATGAATGTGTATTCCTCAGTAGAAAAAGCAGATGCCTGAAATGTTTTTTAGAATTTCCTTGGTGGTTCTAGATCTCTTCCTGTGAAAACCAGTGATAATAACATTTGTCTTTCCTAAAACCTTGTGAATAGGAAAGCTCCGTAATAGATAAGTAAGCATTTAACAGGTATCATCTCATTTCATCCTCACAACAGCCTTCTCTTGTTATTTCTACTTTACAGATGACATAGCTGAGGCTTAATGCCAGTAGATGCACTGCCCAGGGTCAGGTGGCTAAATAACAAGGGTGCTGACTCACACTTGAGTCCGTCTGACTCCAAAGCAGACACATTGTCATTTTTTTTGTTGTTGTTTTCAAGATAGGGCAGGTCTGAGGAACAGAGCTCTCCCCTCCCTTAAAAACAATGTGACAACATTCCTTGAGCAGCATGTGCTAATCTCCCAGGATTTAGAGGATGTGCTGTCAGTGACTTCAGTTTTTCTAGTGGTTTAGCACGCCAACAGAGTTTTCTTTTTCCATTCTCTCGTGTATGCGTTCCAATACTAAAACCAGATGGAAATAAAGGAAAACTCTTAACAGAGGCTAGTGCCAAATATTTCATTTAAAAAGGAAACTCCATCTGTGTGCTCTCCCACCACACAGCCCACTGTTAAGAACAGGAGTTTCACAGCTCACTCACTTATGTTAATTTTGATTAGTTTTGACTACTTGCAAAGGTAGAGCAAGTGGTGGTTAGGGAGATTGCAAACTAAGGCAGCTCTCCTTCTGGCATGTGGCTGGCAAGGCACTGTGTACCTGGCAGACATCCTAAACAGCAGCCTACCAAGAAGGCAGTTTTAAAGCACATAGATGCATTCTTTGGGTGATTTTCTAGGTTAACACTTTTAGAAGTGAGTGCGCCTGGCTGTGTAGTGAGGCTTTTGTTTGTCAGTAAGTTGTAGTCAGAGGCACCTATTGCTCCCTGGGAGAATTCCCACTCCAGATGTAGGAGAACACAGGCTTAGGCAGAAAGCTGACTTATGGTAAAACGCTGACTGTACTAGCTCTGTCATGTCTTTGAAATTCAGTTTTCTCATCAATAAAATGGCTATAATACCTACATCCCTGCGTTAAATTAAGAAGAATAACTGAACTGTGTGTGTGTGTGTGTGTGTGATGCATGATACATGGAAGATATTCAGCTTTATGAGCAATACTATTATTGTTAATGGTATACTCACTGGTTCTTGCAAGATAAAGATTGTTCACCTATAGCTTTTTAAAAACATGTTAATGACCAAATACCACTGGTACCTGCTCAAACCTACTGAAATAAAAAAAATAATCTAATCATAAAGTCGGATTCTCAGGAACAGACATTTATAAAACAACAGCAAAAAGAAAAAAAAACATGTTAATGTATATGTATGACAGGCATCCATGACCCATGTCATGTGAAGCAAAATCACATGATAACCCAGACTTGGCGTTGGGGGTTTTCTCCCTCTCCTTCCACACCTTTTTCCCCCTTTCCCTCTCCAGTTTGCATCCTCTCCATTCTGTGTCCCACTCCTGACAGAAGTCTTAAGATCATTCTGACCTGCCATTTTTAAACCAGTCTACTCTTGATTCACTAGATTCCAACATTGCTTTTCCCCAAAGCTAGAATATTTCGTGGCATCACACTGCTGTTCTATTTCAGAGTTTGAAATTTTCCACTCTGATATCATAAATATTTGCACAGTACTGGGTATATGGGATGCAGAGGCTCTTTGTGTTTAGGCCTCTTTCTCCAGCTTTGCAGGGAGTTAGAACTGGGTTAGTCAATCGAGGTCCTGTCCCTGAAATGTGAGATGTTATTTTCCTACACCTATCTTTACTGGATCAAAAGAAAAATTAAAACAAAATAAAACAAAACGTTCTCTGAGGTCAGTCAAGTTCACTGTTAAGCAAACATCAGAAGTGGGAGAGGCTGATACAAATGCCTGTGGACCTGGATTCTCAGCCCAGATCAAGTTATTGTTTCTCCAACACTTTCCTGTTACCCTTCCTTTATACATACACACACACACACACACACACACACACACACACACAGAGAGGGAGAGAGAGAACTGTACTAGCTCTGTCATGTCTTTGAAACTCAGTTTTCTCATCTATAAAATGGCAATAAGTTCACAGGGTATTTTGAGGAGTAACTGAACTATATGCGTATATGTAATGCCTGATACATAGAAGGTACTCATCTTCCATGAAGAAGACACAGGGAGGGAGAGAGAATACGAATGACTGACGTTTCCATCTCAGTTCCAGTCATGCTAAACGATATGCGGAATTTTCCAGAAGAAACTGTTAATAACCACAAGCACAATGAGGTTGCCAAGCTGTCCAGAACCATAGTAGATGACCAGGTAGTTACTGTGCTCTGAGCATGAACATGTGCCTCCTCCGACCTCTCATGTCTTCTCTGTAATAGCACTTAGCATTGCTGGGCTTTGTCACTTGGCTTTCTGTTTACTTCTGTAGACTGTCAGCCTCTAGAGAGTGGAGACTGTTGTAGATACCTCCTTTCTTCCCAGTGGTCTGATCAGAGCCTCCTAGTAGAAGAAATGAAGCTCCTGGGCAGGGGGAATTGGGCATAATCTCACTCCTGCTCTGTCTATAAGAGCTGACACTGCCTGAGCTCTGGGCTCACTTTCTGTGTTTGAGCTCCAGGGTGAGCTCACACATTCACTCTGGGTTATAGTGGCTGGTACTTGTTTTGGCTTTTTTTTTTTTTTTTTTTTAGAAACTTGCTGTTATTCACACTAAGATGCTACTGGGTGGTCTTTTAATTCCCTTGGAATGCATCAGGTTACTGAGCAGAAGATTTTGTTCTACCTATTGGACCAATTACCAATAAGAAAATGCATATTTCTCTGATACTTTCAGACTTTTAGAATCATTCAAAATGAGCAATTGTGGCCTACAATGGAAAGCTGTTATCTCAGAATTTTGAAGTACCTGAGTGTTTCTCTTGAAGAAAGAGTTCATTTTATGCAGTAATAAGTAATCATTTAATGGGCATTGAATATATCAAAACTTTCCTCAGATGTTCTTTTCTCATTGTATCATTTTCAATTCTATATTTCCTTAAAGAGGGCTTTCCAGAGAAAAATGGAAACTGGATTCTTGTTTTTTAGTTTTAACCTCTCTGAGGATTTTCATACCGTCTCACCTCCACCCTGTTCACACAAATTATTCCTCATCCACCTTGTGTGGATCCCATGTGGCTGATGTAGACCTCATGCTACTCTGTGTTTCAATGTAATTTCTATCAGATTAACAAGTACACTTCTCCAAGAAGCCAATAGGGTTTTGACAAATGGATTCGAGATATCAAGAATATGCTCAGCCTTGATGCTTTGGGATACAAGTTTTTATCTTCCTGAAAGGAAGCATTAGCTGCCCTCCTTCATTTTCTAGCTAATTCACACAAGCAGTAATCACGTGGGTTTTTTTTATCTCTGTTCAGAATCCTTTCTATCTTGTGGACAGATCAGAGTCAACTGTGTTTTGGATTCATGCATTTTTAAGAATGTTCCTCCTATATATGTATACATATTATTTATAAAAAACACGAAACCAAGTGAAGAAAAGAAAAACCAATGGAAAAATCATGACTTTGGCTTTTCAGGATTCATGCTTTTCAATACCCTCCCCCTTTTATAATATCTAGGTACAATTTTGTTCTCCTTTTTAATTTAACATGGTAAAAAAAAATTTATTTTTCACACACTTATTATAATTTAATGTCTCCTTGAGTACCATACAATAGCTAACTCTTCATCTATTGCTGGATTTTTTCTTTTACAGTTTTCACCAGCAGAAATAATGATTTTGATCTTGCTTTTAAAAAAGAATGCACATCTTACAGATGAGAAAACTAAGGAACACATGGATAACTGTTAGAGGAAGCATTCACACTGCTAGTAAATGGTAGGATGAGACTGGAACCATTCTTTTCTGTGCCCTGCTTAGTGCTCTGCCGTGAGCCAAAATTAACTTATTTTAAAACCCCAGTCCACCAGAACCTTTTAAAAATAAAATATCTTGTCAGCCTTGGTGGCTCACACCTGTAATCCCAGCACTTTGGGAGTCTGAGGCGGGCGGACCACTTGAGGTCAGGAGTTTGAGACCAGCCT